GCGGTGGTGCCAGAGGACCGTCTGGTGCGACAGGGTGCGACACGAGCAGGGGGCGGACAACTGACCTGACGCAGACGCTGCTACCTGAGGGGACTCAGTGGTCAGTGCGTACAAGTCCGACCCCGGCTGCCGAGTGAAGGTAGCCAGGTGACGACCCGTCTGGGCACACGTGCAGTGCGTCACACGCTCGTAGGCAGGGGTGAACTGGTGAACACCCGCGTCCTGGAGCGCAGAACCCGCCACCAAGTTCATAGAGAGCGAGGGGAGGTAAAGGCCCGACAGTGTGCCGGACGGGACAGCAGGACAAGGGAGGGCAGTGGTAGAGGTCGCAAGGACCGGACCCCCGGAGGGGTCAGCCAGGGAGACAGCAACCGGTCTAGGGAGCTGCTCTAGGGCAGTGCGGTCGTGAAAGAAACAGTGGGAAGCACCTGAGTCCAGTGTGAAGGTGTGGAGTGCCACAGTAGACGCAGCACCTGAGGGCGCAGACTCACAAGCACCTGAAGTAGCAGACACACCTGCACCTAGAGCAGCAGCCTCACCAGGACCTGGGGCAGCAGACGCACTAGCATCTAGAGCGGCAGCCTCACTGGTTGCAATGCCTGGGTCTGGTGGCACACACAAGTAACAGTCACCCTCAACACTAATAGTCAATGCATACATGGCTCCAAGGATAACATCAAAGTCAAGTGCAAAGACATCTATGTTCTTTTTAAGCCGATCAGCCCAGCGGGGCAGCTCAGAGGCCTCAGGGAACTGTGCACGCCAGGCGTCGTCGAGACGGAAGAAGCAGCGTTGCGGTGTGTGGAACCTCCCACACGTCTGACCAGCGCGGTCACCTGTGCGGATGACATACGTGCAGGTACCTCCACCCCCAAACCCCCCATGCTGGGAGTACCACTCACGAAGCTGCTGGGACGACGGGGTCTCTCCGAGACGCTGCTGCTGGCGCTGAACACCACCCAAACCCCCACGCTACGCTGGTCCACCCCGACCACCACCCGTGCAGCCGCCACCACGCCCACCGCCGCCACCACCACCGCCTCCACTCTGGCCTCCTCCACCACCATTGCCGCCACCACCCCCGCCGCTGCCACCGACCCCCCCAGCCCCGCCACCACCCTCGCCACCGCCGCCACCCCCACCGCCCCTTCCGCCTCCACCTCCACCTCCACCCCCCCCCCCCCCCCCCGCTGGCACCACCACCACCCTTGCCCCCTTTGCCCTTGCTGCCCTTGCACCTCCAGCTAGGAGCAGACGCAGCCCCGACTTCCTCAGCACCAAGGAAGTCGACAGCGGCAGCAGAGGCAACCGAGGGGAGAAGGGGGGGTGGGGAACACCCTTCAAAGAAGGGCGTGCAGGGGTCGCCACGAGAGGCACCTACAGCAACTATGCTAGCCTCAGCAGCAAGCAGATGCTTCTCGATCAGGTCAATGGTGAGCTTGGTGGGGCAGAGAGCGAGAAAGGTGTCCCTAACTGCGCGAAGAGAGTCAGGGAGACGGGTGACTAGGTGGTAGAGAACGAGGTACATCGGGGGGGGGGGGGGGTTCTTGGCGAGGAACTCTGCAGGAAGGGCGGCGCGGTAGCGAGTGTTACTGGTGCGAAGGTGGGTAATGAGGTCAGCGACTGTGGGAAAGGCGGCGAGATCGGGGAAAAGATAAGGCAGCGAGAGACGACCTATCGTAGCAGAGGCAGGCGAGGAGTAGCGAGCGACGACTGCATCATACAGTGCCTTAGCAGTCTTGTGCTGGCCGAAGTGTGCGCGCTCATCTAACGGCAGGTGGCTGCGAATGGCTAGGCGAGCGTGGGCGTCATGAGTCTGCCACTGGGGGCAAGCTTTACTGTCAGCAGTGTCAGCAGGTACTAGAGCTGTTCCGGACGCGTGGTCATACAGCGAGACATTGTCCTTAGCGGTGATCTGGAGGAACAGGTGCAGATCGTTGAGCCAAGCTTCAAACTGGAGCGGACGGCCCTCAGCATCGAAAGAGAGAAATGTGGGAGAGGCCATAGTGGCAGTAGCAGCAGTAGCAGCAGCTGTAGTGAGAAGAACATCTGTAACAGCAGGAACAAGAACAACAGGTGCTGCAGATGGGGCGGCGCGGCTCTCTCAGGGCGGCGCGGCTCGGGCGGCGCGACTCGGGCGGCGCGGCTCAGGCAAGTAGGGCGGCGCGACGGCCGGCCTATGCACGGTGCGTGGCGTTGCCTAGGGTGCAGCTGCGCTCAGGCCGCGGCTGGGTTCATGCTGCAGCTAAGCGCGAGCTGCAGCAGCCGACGCGCGATCGCCATTGCACGCGGACTGCGACCTGCGGGCGAGCAGCGGTGGGTCGAGCGCCGTCCTAGGGGCGAGCGGTCTTGCATGGGCTGCAGTCACGCGTGGGCAGCGGCCTAAGAAAGCGACGCGGCTGCCTACAGGCGGGGCTGCATCGTGCTTGAAGGCCAGCCGGGCCGGTCGACGGGCGGGCGCTAGAAAAAAAAGAGGCCGCGCGCGGGTGGCTAGCGAGCTGCGCACGGGCAGCGTGAGAGAGAGAGAGAGAGAGAGAGAGAGAGAGAGAGAGAGAGAGAGAGAGAGAGAGAGAGAGAGAGAGAGAGAGAGAGAGAGAGAGAGAGGCACACGAGGGCGCACTAGGAGAGAGGCGCACAAGGGCGCGACGGTGAGAGGGTGCTCGAGGGCGCTACTAGCGGAAGGGTGGGCCCTTAGGAACAAGCGGTCCTAGGTTCCTAACCTAGGCTCGTAATACCATGTCAAAATGAGAGAAGTGATTGCACTAGGAAGATTGAGAGTACAAGTATGAAACCCTAGAGTATTGTAACCCCTAAAGGCTAACCCACTGTAGCCTACACATTAGCAACACATATAATGTTTGACATAAAACACATAGCACCCAATTTACGCCTACTGCACTAAACACATGTTACAATGAGAAAAAAAGCCTAATGTTGCATTGCAACCTTATTATCCATACTATGGATGGAGCCAAATAATGAAAATCTTCAAATCGGTATTTTCAAATCAGCCAGGCTGCCCCACGCTCGAAAAGGCTGGACATTTGGCATATGCAGGGCTTGACAAAAGACCTCTATTGGTGAGGAAAGACCTGTAGGTTGGGAGAGCAGAGAGAACGGAAATGACAGAGGAATGGGGAGAGGGTGTAAGGGGTACAGCAAGCATAGACAGGGAAGGTGGAGAGGGTGTAACGCATTTCGATGAGTAATGTGGAACATCCCCTCCCTTTTCTTCCCCTCCCCTCTCTTTCCTCCCTCCCCCCCTTTCCTCCCCTCCCCCCATTCTCATGCCTTCGCGCTAGCCCCCATCTCACATCGAATTGAACCAGCGCCAATCGAACCCAGGTGCGCCCGGCGCTACCCGAACGGTCCGCAACGTTCTCAGCTCGTCCGCCGCCACTAGCGACTGCCACTGCTGAAGCCACCGTAGCGAGCGAGCGCGCGCAAGGAGCACGGTAGCAAGCAAGCGCGTGCGCGCGCTAGCTGCACGTGATCGACGGAGCCACGCCAGTGCTCTTTGTGAACGCAACTAGGAGTGAGGGGGATTGGGAAACAGGGACGCGGGAAAACGGGGACACAGGAAAAGTGGAAGGAAGAACGGGAACGAGAAATTTCAGAGAATGAACGAGAGAAGGCAGGGACGCAAGAAAAATGCCTTCATGGCAAGCGAATGCATTTGCTGTCAGAACTATACAATACACTATAGAGGGGCACTTCTCATGGGGTACAGCCCTGATAGGTTTTGCCTATACAAACTTTGTACTGTTCCCTTTCTACTCATCATTCTTCGTTCTAGCTTTAACATGGTTTCAGAGCAGGTTCCCTAATGGGAACGTTTTTTTAGGGCCCACCACCACGGACTTTTTTTTTCTGCCCTGCCCAAAGCACACTGCCGTGCCTGCCTGCCCCGTCACGCGCCTTGCGCTTGCCTACCCGCGCCCTCGAGCGCCTGCCCAATCCGAGCCCTCGAGCGCCTGCCTGTCGCCCTACCCTGTAGGCCGCTCGCGGGCCTGCCTTGCACCCGTGACGCCGCCTCTGGACCCCGCGGCGCCGCCCCTGGACTTCACGACGCCGCCCCTGGACCCCGCGACGCCGCCTTTGGACCCTACGACGCCACTCCTAGACCCCGCGACGCCGCCCCTGGTCCCCGCGACGCCCCTGAGGGACCCGGGCGTCGCCCCTGCTCGTCGCGACGCCCTTGCGGGACCCGCGCGGCGCCGCTCCTGCTCGTCGCGATGCCCCTGCGGGACCTGTGCGGCGTCGCCCCTGCTCGTCGCGGCGCCCTCTGGGCGTCGCCCCTGCTTGTTGCGACGCCCACTGGGCGTCGTCCCTGCTTGTCGCGGCGCCCCCTAGGCGCCGTCCCTGCTCGTCGCGACGACGCGCGGGTCCCTCCCCCTTGACTGCTGGACTGGCCCACGTGAAGTCGGAGCTGCATAAGAGACACACGTGCATAGACCTGGGTGAGCTGCGCAAATATCTTGGCTTGCAGATCACCCGGGACAGAGCACGGCGCACCATTATCTTGACTCAGTCACACATGATGCAGCAGGTCCTTCAGCGCTTCAACTTTACGTACTCCTCGCCTCAGGCCACTTTTCTGTCTACTCGCCACTCGCTCTCAGCTCTGCCTTCAGATGAGTCCGTAGAGCCGAGTGGCCCGTACCCAGAGCTTGTAGGCTGCCTCATGTACCTAATGACCTGCACTCAACCTGACTTGGCATACCCTCTTAGCATCCTGGCACGCTATGTTGCTCCTGGGAGACACCGACCAGAGCACATGGATGCAGCTAAGAGGGTGTTGCGCTACCTGTGCAGTAGTTGTCCGTACTGTTCACGCAGACGCTTCTTGGGTTGACGACTTGGCTACGCAGTGGTTGTCACAGGGTTACACCTTCAGCCTTGGTTCTGGCTCTGTATCGTGGTTATCTACCCGCTCGTCTTCTGTTCTCAGCTCCAGTTGTGAGGCTGAGATCTACGCCAAAGCCATAGCTGCACAGGAGTTAAGCTGGCTCACCTACGTGCTGACCGACTTGGGAGAGGCGCCTCGTTCCCCTCCAGTTCTTTACTCCAGTTCCCCTACTACTACTACTACTACTACTACTACTACTACTACTACTACTACTACTACTACTACTACTACTACTACTACTACTACTACTACTACTACTACTACTACTACTACTACTACTACTACTACTACTACTACTACTACTACTACTACTACTACTACTACTACTACTACTACTACTACTACTACTACTACTACTACTACTACTACTACTACTACTACTACTACTACTACTACTACTACTACTACTACTACTATTACTACTACTACTACTACTACTACTAGTGCTACTACTACTACTACTACTAGTACTACTACTACTACTACTACTACTACTACTACTTCTACTACTACTACTCCTACTACTACTACTACTACAACAACAACTACTACTACTACTACTACTACTACTACTACTACTACTACTACTACTACTACTACTACTACTACTACTACTACTACTACTACTACGACAACTACTATTACTACTACTACTACTCCTACTACTAGTATTACTAGTGCTACTACTACTACTACTACTACTACTACTACTACTACTACTACTACTACTACTACTACTACTACTACGACAACTACTATTACTACTACTACTTCTCCTACTACTAGTATTACTAGTGCTACTACTACTACTACTACTACTACTACTACTACTACTACTACTACTACTACTACTACTACTACTACTACTACTACTACTACTACTACTATTACTACTACTACTACTACTACTACTACTACTACTACTACTACTACTAGTACTACTACTACTACTACTACTACTTCTACTACTACTACTCCTACTACTACTACTACAACAACTACTACTACTAGTACTACTACTACTAGTACTACTACTACTACTACTACTAATACTACTACTACTACTACTACTACTACTACTACTACTACTACTACTACTACTACTACTACTACTACTACTACTACTACTACTACTACTACTACTACTACTACTACTACTACTACTACTACTACGACAACTACTATTACTACTACTACTACTCCTACTACTAGTATTACTAGTGCTACTACTACTACTACTACTACTACTACTACTACTACTACTACTACTACTACTACTACTACTACTACTACTACTACTATTACTACTACTACTACTACTACTACTACTACTACTACTACTAGTACTACTACTACTACTACTACTACTTCTACTACTACTACTCCTACTACTACTACTACAACAACTACTACTACTAGTACTACTACTACTAGTACTACTACTACTACTACTACTACTACTACTACTACTACTACTACTACTACTACTACTACTACTACTACTACTACTACGACAACTACTATTACTACTACTACTACTCCTACTACTTGTATTACTAGTGCTACTACTACTACTACTACTACTACTACTACTACTACTACTACTACTACTACTACTACTACTACTACTACTACTACCACCACCACCACCACCACTACTACTACTACTACTAGTACTACTACTACTACTACTACTACTACTACTACTACTACTACTACTACTACTACTACTACTACTACTACTACTACTACTACTACTACTACTACTACTACTACTACTACTACTACTACTACTACTATTACTATTACTACTACTATTACTACTACTACAAACAAGCGTCACATGCAGCGTAGTTTGGCGAAGGAGGTCAAACGAGTTCTCATGGCAAGGGAATAGGATGTAATACCTGAATGTGTGAAGAAATAGTGCTAAAGACAACATCCAAATGTTCAAACGGTGACATGTTGCGCACAGGCCTATCCTTGCACAGATTCAGGCCAGCAAACGCACAAATATGTACCACGAGCTGCGTAGTTGTGCTGACGAGATGAAATCCATTCCTATGGCTAGGTAATAGGATTTAGTTGAGGACTGTGTGAATAAATAGTGGCTAAAAAGGCATTCAAACGTTGGCGCAGTGACATGTTGCGCACAGGCCTATCCTCGCACAGTTTTGAGGCCAGCAAACGCATAAACATGCATCACGTGCTGCGTAGTTGTGCGAACGAGGTCAAACCAGTTCCTATCGGAAGATAATAGGATGTAATACCTGAATGTGTGAATAAATAGTGCTAAAAATAACATCCAAATGCTGAAACGATGACATGTTGCGCACAGGCCTATCCTTGCACACATTCAGGCCAGCAAACGCACAAACAAGCGTCACGTGCAGTGTAGTTGGGCGAACGAGCCCAAACCAAATTCCGTGGCAAGGGAATAGGACATACTACATGTGTGAATATACAGTGCTAAAAGCAACATCCAAACGTTGAAAAGATGACATGTTGTGCACAGGCCTATCCTTGCACACATTCAGGCCAGCAAACGCACACACAAGCGTCGCGTGCTGTGTATTTGGGATGACGTACTACCTGGATGTGTGAAGAAATAGTGCTAAAAAAAACATCCAAGCATTGAAACGGTAACATGTTACGCACTAGCCTATCCTTGCATAGTTTCAGACCATCGAATGCCTAAACAAGTGTCACGATACGTGGTGCCGTTTTGACGTCCGGTTATTCATTTTTTGTACGAGATTATGCGATTTTGATTTGCAGTCGCAAGAATGCCTTAATATATCGTACACAAACCTCTCCGTTACTTGTGGTATAGGAAATGGTGTATCCTAAACTCTCTGAGGGATCGCTTATTATTGAGTACGGTAGCCGCAACTTGGAAATGTAATGTGACACCTTATCTCTATTCACTCAAACTGAATGTAAACCACCAATGCATTTTGTGCTCTAGTTGTGGTTACTACTTTTTATAACAATGCATATGTGTTACGAGTGCAATTGAGTGAGCGAGCGAGAATTGCACTATCGAAGCAAGAGTTCTTTGAGCGAAGGCATGAGCGAAGAATATATAGCGAAACTACAGTGGTAACGGTAATGGACTGTGGTTGTCGCGCGATGTGCCTGGGACTAAGGTTTGGGGAAATGTCGAAGCGGAGGCCCGGAGCGCGGGGTACCCGCCGAGCCGTGAGGTCTGGGTGCAACGTGCTAAAGTGGCGGGAGAATTGTCGATGCGAGGGTTGCGAATGGTAACGGTGCTGACTGTGGTGCTATAGTGGTGTACGCGCTGAGCGGGGACGGGAAGTAAGGGAAAGGAATTTTCCTTACACTACCCCCACCCCCCCTAAGGAGGTCTTCCTTACGAAAGCGCGTGTACATCTCTGAAGTTTCGGCTGTGCAGATACTCTGTGAGGATAGGGTGGTTTTTGACTCTGTCCAGGGGAACCCAGTTGTCTTCGGTGGGTGTACGGTCTTTCCAGCGGATCAGGAACTCGATCCTTCGGGCTCCTCGAGGGTCACGAACTCTGTGGCTCAGAATTTTCTCAGGTGTGATGATTGGTTCAGTCGGTGGTCGTGTCATGCTGGCTGGGCAATTACGTGGCAGTTGGCTTGTGGACGGTATGTAGGGGCGAAGTAAGCTGACGTGGAAGGATGGGCTGACATACCAGTCAGCGGGGAGGAGGAGATGGGCGGTGATGGGCGTAATCATGTGGCTAATGCGGAATGGTCCACAGTATTGGGGGCGAAGTTTTGGGGTGATGGGCAGGCGGGGGTTCTGGGTGTCAAGTAAAACTAGGTCGGCGGGCTGGTAAGTGATGGCGGTGGCGGTCGGCGTTACGTTTAGCGATGATGTTCGATTTTTTTATTGTGTCTGCTGCCCGGGTCCGTGCTTCTTGTAAAATTTTGGCGAACTATTGTGCTCATAGCACCGGGTTGTCAGGATTCGGGGTCATGGGTACTGTTGGGTCCTGTCTGTAGTTCAGGTAAAACGGGGACTGCTGGGTCATGGCAGAGGGTGAGTTATTGTACGCGAATTCAATGAGTGGCAATTGATGTTCCCAAGTGGTTGGGTCGTCGCACGTGGCTCGAATGAGTTGTTCCATCATATGATTTGTCCTCTCTGTCTGTACGTTGGTCTTGGGGTGGTATGAAGAACGGAACTGTAGTCGCATACTGAATTGTTGCCACAGGTTCCGCCAGATTCTGCTTGTGAATTTCGTATCTCGGTCGCTGATGATCACCGCTGGTATCCCGTGCAGCCGAACGACGGTGGAGATGAAGAGACGTGTTGTTACTTCGGCAGTGATTGATTTTTTGCATGCTGCGAAGTGTGCCATTTTCGTCAGTCGATCGACGACGACCAGGATCGTGTCGTTCCCACTTGGCCCGGCCGGTAAACCCGTGACAAAATCCATCGTCACCTACAGCCGAGCACGCTCTGGGGGTGGTATCGGCTACAACTGTCCTGCCGGCCGCTTCCGTGATGATTTCATGAGCTGGCAAGTGGGACACGATGCCACGTGTCGTTGTACGTCGGTCAACATCTCGGGCCAGTAATAGTACCGCTGCAGCTGCTGCCGTGTTTTCTCTACCCCGAAATGCCCTGAGGTAACTCCGCCGTGTGCCTCCTATAACAGTAACTCCTGTAGCAATTGTGTATCCTGGTACCCAGATGCGGTCGGTCCCGGCTTTTACATAATAGACTCCCTTTGCTGCTGCAAACTGCTGCGAATTTTCTCCTGTGAAGAATGGGTCCGTTTGGTACCCGTGGGTGAATAGGCCTGTCAATAGTGGATTTGTCTGGGCGAGTAGTATTGCGTGAATCTGGGCAGCGGGGCGAGTCAGGGCGTCAGTGATGTTCGATGCCCCCTTTTTGTAGGTGACTGTGTAGTGGAAATTTGACTCGAGGAAATCGAGCCAGCGGATCTGTCGTGGGTTGAGGTGTGGCTGTGCGAGGAGGTACTGTAGTGATTTATGGTCTGTCCGTATTGTCACGTCTGCGCCGGTCAAGTAACAGCGCCATACTTTGAACGCGTGCACGATCGCAAGCATTTTGCGGCCGTGTATCGGGTAATTTTTCTCGGGCAGATGCAGTTTGCGTGACTCGTATGCGTGTGAGAAATGAGGAATGATTGCATTGAGCAGCATGAGGAGTACTAGGAAACCCTAAAGTGTTGTACACCATATAGACTACCCCACTACAGCCTAAACAAACTACAGCATATAAGTTCGACACACCCCCATATGCAAAGTGGGGGAGAACAAGGGGTCACAAGACCAGTCAAGAGAAACAAGGCAAGCCCAGGGTGGATCACAACGTCACCACACAATCTGAGCACAAGCACAAGGCCACAAGGCCAGTTCACATGCAGAGTTATATACCAAGATGAACAAACAGAGCAGTGATCTCAATCTAGCAAGGGTAAGCATGCAACAGCAGGTATATATAGATCACAGTACAAGCAAAGTCAAGAAGTGAGCAAGTGAGGCCAAGTAGGCACAAGACCTAGCAAAGTACAAAAGCGCTGATGATCACAAGTCGGAAGTGCCTTGGTAAAGATATCACCAGTGTTGGCCTCAGAGGCCACGTAAGCAAGGCGCAGCTGACCGCGCTGCTGCAGCTCACGAGCAAGGAATTAGCGAAGAGCAATGTGCTTCGTTCTGTGCTCCAGTCTGTGCTCCCGACACAAGGCCAACATGGCCTTGTTGTCTACGTACAGAACTGGAGGAGAACAAGGCGGCTCTCCTAGGTCAATCAGCAGGTAGGTGAGCCAGCGTAGCTCCTATGCAGCCATGGCCCCTGCGTAGATCTTGGCCTCACGGCTGGAGCCGAGAACAGAAGACGGGCGGGTAGACCGCAACGAGACAGAGCCGGAACCAAGATTGAAGGTGTAACCCTGTGACGACCGCTGCGTAGCCTGGTCGTCAGCCCAAGAAGCGTCTGCGTGACCTGTGAGGACCACTGGACGTCGCCCTCCAAGCACTAGCCCCATGCCCGACATACTGCACAAGTAGCGCAACACCCTCTTTGCTGTAGCCATGTGCTCTGGTCGGTGTCTCCCAGGAGCCACATAGCATGCCAAGATGCTAAGAGGGTATGCTAGGTCAGGTCGTGTGCAAGTCATCAGGTACATGAGGCACCCAACAAGCTCTGGGTATGGGCCACTCGGCTCTATGGACTCATCCGAAGGCAGAGCTGAGAGCGAGTCGCGAGTAGACAAAGGAGTGGCCTGAGGCGAGGAGTACGTGAAGTCGAAGCGCTGAAGGACCAGCTGCACCATGTGTGACTGAGTCAGGGTAATGGTGCGCTGTGCTCTGTCCCAGGTGATCTGCAAGCCAAGGTAGCTGCGCAGTTCACCCAGGTCTGTGCACGTGTGTCTCTTCTGCAGCTCGTCCTTCACGTAGGCGAGTCCAGCAATGTCAGCAGTGGCAAAGACCAAGTCATCGACATACACGAGGATGTAGAACGGCGGCAAAGAGGTGTCGGTGCGCAGAAACAGCGACGGGTCGGCTGTAGAAGGAGCAAACCCAAGAGCCGCAAGTGTAGTCCTCAGTGTGTCATGCCACTCACGGGGCGCCTGGCGGAGACCGTAGACTGGCCGCTGGAGGCTCCACCGGGTACCAGGGGGGAACGACCCAGTCAAGCCAGGTGGGCGGCGCAGCCAGATCTCCTCGTGCAGGCTGCCGTGCAAGAAAGGTGTGCCAAAGTCAAGAGAGTGAAGCTCGTAGTCGAGCTAAGCGGCTATGTGCAGCAGCATCCGAAGAGTGGTCATCTTCGGGGTAGGGGAGAAGGTCTGAAAGTAGTCAACTCCCTGCCGCTGTCTGAAGCCTCGAGCCACGTAACGCGCCTTGAAGACAGGCAGAGAACCCGGCGGCCGCTTCACCCTGAAAATCCACATGCCACTGACGATGTTCGCCCCATATGGGGGAACCTCGTCGACGTAGATGCCTGTGGACTTTCAGGAAGCCATCTCTGCGTCCATGGCTGACTGCCACTGTGAGGAGTAGGGACCCTCGATCGCCTCAGCGTACGATCGAGGAGTCGGGATGTCTGGTGCATCCGGGTCTCCCTCAGGGGCAATCAGCGTGGACACGAGATGAGGCAAAGCAGCAGCAAAACACTGGAACTCCTCCTGCCTGTCCTCAAGGACGTAAATGCTAAGAGCACACTCACCCCCGACGGACGAAGGACAGACAGACTCAGACTCAGCAACAAGACTAGCAGCGTAGTCTAGACAACAACGAGCAGCAAAGTTGACAAGCTCAGCAACTAAGGCAGACGTAGTAGTGGACTCAAAGGAAGGGTTAGTGACAACAGTAGCCAGGAGACGCGTGACAGTAGGACTGGCAGCATGAAGAGAGTCTGACTCCGGGTCAGCAAGAGTAGGAAGAGAGGACTCTGGAGGAGACGGCAACGGGACACGCAGAGGAGCAGTGGAAGGACGCAGTGCCATCTGGTGTGTGCTAGGGACCGCAGGAGGACGCGGATGCGGAGCACGACCACTAGTGCGAGCAGCACGAATAGGCGACGCAGGACGAGACGCAGGCTCACGACGCTCAGCAAGACCTCCTGTAGGACCAGTGTAGGGAGACAGAGCATGCAGGGGGGAGGCGGGCTGTAACTGTTACCGCGACTGGACAGGCTGTGGACACGCTAAGGGAGGAATGGACCAGTAGAGGGTGGGAGACCAAGAACCTGCTCAAGGAGCGGAATGAAGTACGGCCTCGGCCGCGCAGCGCCTCTAGAACCAGTAGGGACAGCACCAGTACCTCCAGCGGTAGCACCAGCACCAGCAGCACCTCCAGCTCCAACAACGCCAACTCCAGCACCCTCAGAAGCACCAGCGCCAGCAAAACCACCAGCGCTAACACCCCCAGCAGCTCCAGCTCCAGCAGCTCCAGCAGCACCAACTCCAGTAGGACCGTCAGCTGAAGTACCGCCAGCAGCTCCCGTAGCTCCAGTAGCACCTGCAGCAGGACTCCCAGTCCCAGCAGCTCCAGAACCGCCAGGACGAGCACCTACCGGACCAGCAGCAACAGTAGTACCTCCAGCTCCAGCAGCACGGCTCCAGTGCCGGGCAAACCACTCGCGCAGCTCCTACGAAGAGAGTAGCTCCCGCCTCGACGAAGCACCGCCAGAGGCCACACAAGTAGACCCAGCACCCCCAGGCTCCGCACCCCCAGGCTCAGCACTCCCACGCTCCGCACCCCCAGGCTCAGCACCCCCAAGCTCCGCACCCCCAGGCTCAGCACCCCTAGGCTCAGCACCCCCAGACTCAGCACCCCCAGGCTCATTACCCCCAGGCTCCGCACCCCCAGAACCGGCACCCGCAGGCACAGCGCCCCTAGCAGCACCAGAGTCAACAGCTACCTCGACAGTCTCAACAGCGTCTACCTGGGACACACCTGACGGAGCAGGACCCTGAGGGGGGAGGGGGTCTACCGGGGGAGGACCTGGCGCAAGGAAGAGCACCGGCGGGGGGAGGGGCGCAGTGCGGCAGGGGAAGAGACGGTAGTAAGGCACCGACTCGTCAAAGGTGACGTCCTAGGAGGACAGAACACGGCGCGAGGTGGGGTGGTAGAACTGCCAACAAGGCGCGTCAGGGGTTAAGCCAAGGAAGACGTAGGGAACAGCACGGGGGGACAGCTTGTCCGCATACAAGTCGCGGACAAACGCCCGAGATCCCCAGACCCGAAACGCAGACGCATCGCCAACCTTCCCCGTCCACCTCAAGGTGGGGGAGGTCTCTGGTAAGGAGACCCGGGGCTGAAGATTGAGCTGATGCGCCGCGTACTGAACCGCAAACGGCCACAGAAAATGGGGAGCAGCCGCATGGATCATGGACGTACGAGCGACGTCCATGACCATGCCAATGCGGCGCTCAGCAATCCCATTTTGCTGTGGAGAGGCCGCAAGCGTGAAGGTCTAGTGGATGCCCTATGCACGACAGAAGGCTCCCACACGGGCAGAGGAAAGCTCCCCGCCTCTGTCAGAGTGCTGACGCAGAACAGGAAAGTCCGAGCCGAAACTCTCTCTGAGCTGGAGACGAGCTGCAAGGATCCAGTCGATCAACACCTCAGTGACGTCACCCTTGCTGTACAAGGGGAACACCGTGGTGTAACGCGAGTAGTCTTCAACCACCAACAAGAAGTAACGCTCGTGACCCTGGCCACGGACGCGGGCGGGGCCCCACACGTCCATGTGAAGAGGCTGCAGGGGAGCCTATGTCGGAGGAAACTCAGAGGAGTGAGGAGCGGCGCGCTGCCGCCCCTCGACGCAGGGGACGCAGGTAGGGGCCGGCCCCTGAGGTAGGGGAGGGAGGGACAGGGGGAGACTAGAGACAAGGACACGGGAGGCCATGCCTGAGAGACGAGGCACAAAGGGGTGACCAAGGCGGTGGTGCCAAAGGAGAGTCAGGTGGGACAGGAGACGACACGAGCAAGGCGCAAACTCAGGACCAGACCTGGACGCTGCAGCAAATACTTGACTCGACGCAGCTACCTGACCAGACGCAGTAACAAGAGGAGACTCAGTTGTCAGTGTGTACAGGCTCGACCCCGGCTGACGGGTAAACGTGGCCAAGTGTCGGCCCGTTTGAGCACACGTACAGTGGGTCACCCGCTGACTCCCAGGTGTGAACTGGTCAACCCCCCGATCCTGTAGATCAGCTCCACTCACCAAGTTCGTAGAGAACAAGGGGAGGTAGAGACCAGACAGGGTGCCAGAGGGGGCTGCCGAACACAGTAAGACAGTGGAGAAGCTAGCAAGGACAAGACCTTCAGAGGGGTCCGCCAGGGAGACCGCAACCGGCCGACTAAGTGGCGTAAGCGTGGTGCGGTCTCGAAAGAAGGAGCGGGAAGCACCCGAGTCAAGGGTAAGGGTGTGCAAGGCCTAAGCCGACGTGGTACCTGAGAGAGCAGACTCACCAGCACCTGGGGCAGCAGACGCACTAGCACCTGGAGCAGCAGTCTCACCAGCACCTAGAGCAGCAGCCTCAATGCCCGGGTCAGGCGGAACACACAGGTAACAGTCACCCTCATCATCAGTAGACACAGCATGCATGGCAGCAAGAATAGCATCATAGTCAAGATCAAAGATAGCTGCCCCATCCCTAGACAGCTCTCCCCATCGAGGGATCTCAGTGGCGTCAGGGAACTGATGACGCCAAGCGTCCGTCATGCGGCCGAAGCAGCGCTGGGTGGAGTGCGTGCCCCCGCACTGCTCACCAGCACAGTCGCCTGTACGGAGGACGTAGGTGCAGGGACCAGTACCCCCACCCCGCTGACGCCCAGCGTACCACTTACGAAGCTGCTGAGGGTACAGGGTCTCAAGACCGCGCTGCTACTGCTGGCGCAGACCGCCACCTCCGTCGCCTCCGCCACCTCCGCCGCCTCCGCCACCGCCGCCGCCTCCGCTCCCTCCGCCACCACCGCAGCCTCCTCCGCCTCCACTGCTGCCACCGACACCTCCACCCCCGCCACCACTCCCACCACCACCCCCACCCCCTCCACTGCCTCCACCACCACCTCCAGCGCCTCCACTGGCCCCCCCTGCGCCCTTGCCCCCCTTGCCCTTGCCGGTGCGGCGCTTCTCGCTAGGGACAGACGCAGCGCCGACCGACTCGAAGCCAACGAGGTCGGCCGCAGCAGCAGGAGCAACAGAGGGCAAGAGGGGGGAGGGAGAACACCCCTCAAAGACAGGGGTGCGAGGGTCACCACGAGAGGCTCCTACAGCGACTATGCTCTTCTCTGCTGCTAGGAGGCGCTCCTCGAGGAGGTCAACGGTGAGTGTGGTGGGGCAAACTAAGAGGAAGTGGTCCCTGACTAAGCGAAGGGAGTCAGGGAGCCGGGTGACTATGTAGTAGAGGGTGATGTACATGGGGGGGGGTTCTTGGCACAGAATTCAGCAGGATGCGCAGCGCGGTAGCGAGTGTCACTAGTGCGAAGGTGCGTAATGAGGTCAGCGACTGTGGGAAAGGCAGCAAGGTCAGGGAACAGGTACGGCAGCATGAGGCGGCTAAGCGCAGTAGTGGCAGCGGAAGAGTAGCGTGCAACTAGAGCGTCGTACAAGGTCTTAGCACTCTTGTACTGGCTAAATTGCACACGCTCAGTGGTCAGTAAGTGGCGACGCACAGCAAGACGTGCAGCAGCATCGCGCGTGGCCCACTGTGAGCGAACAGTGCTGTCAGCAGTAGCAGGCGGGGCAGGAGAGACACTAGAGGTGAGATCGAACAGAGAGAGTCCGTTTGCCCTATTGCACTGTAAGAACAGCTGGAGGTCATCGACCCAGACCTCAAAGTCAACAGCACGACCCTCAGTATCAAAGGTAAGGACACTGGGGGTAGCCATGTCTGCAGTGGTCTAGCAGGGAGTGAGCTCACCAGTCCAAGGAAGTAGGGCCGGGGCGCGCCGGACATGACAGTGGCGGCTCGACGGCAGGGCGGCTCGGCGGCTCGGCTGCTGGGCGACACGGCGGCTCGGCTGCAGGGCGGCCTGGCGGCTCGGCGGCTCGGCTGCTGGGTGGCTCGACGGCTCGGCTGCTGGGCGGCTTGGCGGGTGAGCTGTCGGGCCCCTCGGTTGCTGGGCTGCTGGCGGCGTTGAAGGGGCCGGTAGAGACGGCGACGCGGCCGTGAAGAACGGCGACGGGGCCGCTAGGGGCGGCTACGGGGCCGCGAAGGGCGACGACGGGGCCGCGAAGGGTGGCGACGAGGCTGCTAGGGTCGGCGACGGGGTCGGTAGGGCGGCGACGGGGCCGGTAGGGCGGCAACGGGGCCGGTAGGGTCGGCGACGGGGCCGCTTAGGGCGGCCACGGGGCCGGTAGGGCGACGACGGGGCCGGTAGGGTCGGCGACGGGGCCGCTTAGGGCGGCAACGAGGCTGCTAGGGTCGGCGACGGGGCTGGTAGGGCGGCGACGGGGCCGCTAGGGTCGGCGACGGGGCCGGTAGGGTGGCGACGGGGCTGCTAAGGGCGGCGAGGTGGCCGCGAAGGGCGGCGACGGGGCCTCCCGGGGCGGTGACGGGGCCGTTAGGGGCGGCGACCGGGTCGTAGAGGGGCCGGAAGGGGCCTGGAGAGGCGGCGACGGGGCCTAGAGAGGCGGCGACGGGGCCGCGAAGGGGCCGCGAGGGGCCTAGATAGGCGGCGACGGGGCCGCTAAGGGGCCGCGACGGGCCTAGAGGCGCGACGACGGGGCCGTGAGAGGGGCCGCGAGGGGCCGCGAAAGGGGCCGCTAGGGAACTGACGAGGGCGCGACGGGCCGCTAAGGGCTAGGGACGCGACGGGAGGGAGGGCACACGGGGCTCGACTCGGGAAGGAGAGAAGCGCGCCCCGAGCAGAAAAAAATAAATTAGTGGTGGGTCCTTAGGAAGCGTTCCCACTAGGGAACCTGCTCTACACCATGTGAGAAATGAGGAATGGTTGCATTGAGCAGCATGAGGAGTACAAGTAGGAAACCCTAAAGTGTTGTACCCCATATAGACTACCCCACTACAGCCTAAACATACTATAGCATATAAGTTCGACAATGCAATGGGCTGTAGGCCGTTGCCAAAGTCCTGTAGCAGTACGGCTCCTAGGGCGATGTCGCTTGCGTCGGTAACTATTTCGAATGGGCGGTGTGGGTCGGCGATGCGCAGGACGGGCGGTGAACAGAGAACATTTTTCAGGGCAGAGAAGGCAGCATGCTCTTTCTCCCCCCACGTAAAAGCGACCCCCTTACGTAACAAGTGCGTCAACGGCGCTGTTAACCTTGCCATGTTGGGGACGAACCGACACACGTAATTGACGAACCCCCAAAAGCTCTGTAGTTCCGTGATATTCGTCGGGGGGTGCCAGGCTTTCACCGTGTCCAACTTCTTTGGGTCAATTTTGACCCTAGCCTCCGAAATAACGTGCCCCAAAAACTCTAGCCTGTCCTTAAAAAACTCGCACTTAGAGCCCTTTGTTAGTAACCGGTTCTCGTCTAAAATTTGAAGGACTGCTTCCAGATCTGCTAAGTGCTGCTGCGTGTCTCGACTGTAGACGAGGATGTCGTGGAGGTAAACTATCACGCATTTATCTAAAAGTGGCCTAAACGCCTCGTTCATGGTCATCTGAAAAGTCGCTGGTGCGTTGGTCAGCCCGAAGGGCATCATGGTGTACTCGAACGACCCGTACCTAGTCCGGAAAGCTGTTTTGGCACAGTCCGATGGTTTGACTCTAATCTGATGGTAGCCCCCCCTTAAATCTATTTTCGAGAAAACCCGTGCTGTTCGCAATTGGTCGATGTGTTCGTTGGCGCGGGGAATGGGGTACCGCGACTTGACTGTTACCCTGTTGAGCGCTCGGTAATCGATGCACATACGAAACCCTCCGTCTTTTTTTGGCGTTAACAGTATCGGTGCGGCGAACGGTGACGAGATCAGTCGGATGAATTTCTTCTCTAACAAGTAATCTAACTGCTTCCTCAGTTTGTCGAGCTCGGGTTGTGTCAGTCCTCAGTCTGACGCGCGGAGTCACGTTTCGCCGCGAGCGTCGCAATTTTGAGCGCTGATTCTTCGACTTGGCGCACGAGACGGTCGAGTTGCTCCTGCGTCAGTGTCGCGAGAGTAAATTCGGCCATGGCAGCGGGTGTCGGGCAAGCTCAACGAGAGCCTCTGTCGTGGCCGTGCGTGCTTATGAGAGAGCACTACGAGCGGCGGTGCTGTGTCGCTGAGAGACGTCTACCCCCCTAAAACATTGAGATAGTGGGGAAGCGAATGTGTGGGTGCGGTCCGAGAAGAGATCGTAGGCTATGAATACTAAGTGTTACGAGTGCAATTGAGTGAGCGAGCGAGAATTGCACTATCGAAGCAAGAGTTCTTTGAGCGAAGGCATGAGCGAAGAATATATAGCGAAACTACAGTGGTAACGGCAATGGACTGTGGTTGTCACGCGACGTGCCTGTGACTTAGGTTTGGGGAAATATCGAAGCGGAGGCCCGGAGCGCGGGTTACCCGCCGAGCCGTGAGGTCGGGGTGAGACGTGCGAAGGTGGCGGGAAAATTGTCGATGCGAGGGTTGCGAGTGGTAACGGTGCTGACTGTGGTGCTACAGTGGTGTACGCGCTGAGCGGGGACGCGAAGTAAGGGAAAGGAATTTTCCTTACAATATGTATATTTGTTTCCCCGTGGTACAGCGTTGTACATTTTCAATGCAGAAATTGAACATAGTTCTGTAACGCGATGACAAGCAGATAGCGCATCACCAGAACGATGAACAGTTTTCGCGCCATTTCATCACCTCATGCAAATGGTTGCGGAGCAAACGCGACTCGCGCCACAAAAAGCACATTGGCGCCAAGCCAGAATCAGAAAGCTCCCTACCAAAAGCGAAGCAACCTTCAGAATGTAGGTTCGGTTTTAACACATTTTTTTTTTTTTTTTTTGCTTAATGAATCATACACTAGAGTGAACAAGTGTACAACGCATAACAGTCGTAACTGTGCAAGGGAGACGAGAGGACTCGCTCCAGGAATATCTTATCCTCAGACATGGATCCGGGGCCTGCGAGGTTTGCCCCAAAGTGCCGCAAAACTGTTGGACCATTTCCATCCTTTGCCATCCACCACCCTGATCCAATCCAGAAGAGTACGTTCCTGTTCAGTCATTTTCTGCCACCTGGCGAGCTGCCCTTTTCCTCGCTGCTGCACCCTCGTGGCCGAGGCACGTATGTAGACATTCACATGCATGCGGAGCGCTGACTCAATCTTCCGCAGAACTCTCCGCGTGCGGAATTTGCAGCCCCTGAAGGCACCTTCACATCTCTCCACCCACAGCTGATGGAGGGCAATCGCTATCAACAACGCCTCCGGGAATGCTGACATGGAACCCGCTTCACCGAATAACCAATCACCGAGCGAGTCCTTTTTCCTGGCAGGGTTGATCATCCTCAAGGCCTTTTTTACCGCTGAAACCACCCCCTGAGTCCTTGGACACTCTAAAAGCAGTGCTCTAACGTCTCAAACCCTCCACAGTGAGGGCAAACCGGTTTGCTGCTGAGGAACTCCAGCCTCTCCCCGACCTGAAGATTAAGGCAGTGGATACGTAGCAAGACATCCCTCGACCGGCTGGGGGTGACCAGCGACTCGCGAATTTGGACTGCCCGTTTCCAATCAATGCTACCCCCCCAACGGCTTGCCCATCTCTCCCGTCTAGTTTTTCCACTGTCCCCAAGCCTCCAGTGCTTCCTGAGTGTCTTTAGTGGAACTGCCCCCCCTTCCGCTAGCAGCTTCATCCGGAGCTGTGAAGGTCCCCCTCTCCCCAGCTCATACTCCTCCGCGAACCCCACGTTCGGAAGCACGTCAGAGAGGAGTTGACTCCTCCATGACGCCGGTGCTGCAGCAAAAGCTTTGAGCGCGAGGTTTGCAGAATCCTTCCCTCTCAGCTCCCTCGTTAGGGTTTCACAGCTTTTCAGCACTCCTCGCCCTGCCGTATCTCTCCCAAGAAGGTCACCCAACCTGATATTATGAAGCTGCTTCGCCGCCTTCTGTCCTCCCACCGGTGTGGAGCCATTCAAGAGGACGTGTCTGTTAAAAGTGATTCTCTCCAGCAACAGCTCCTTCAAATCCCGTTGTTCAGTAGAATCCGCCAGCGGAGAGTGCATGAAGTTCGCGCATGCCAACATCCACCTCTGGCTTTTCCCCTCCCATGTTTTTAGTAGCTTCACATGTGCCGCGAAAGTCTCCAGCCCACGTGGTAGGTCAGCCGCTTGCCGCATCAATGCTCTCTTCAGCTGATATGTTTCCGTGAGCGTCAACGCTATCCTCCGAGCCGTCAGACAGGTAAGCATCGCTTCTGGGTTCATCGCCCCCACACCTCCTTCCAGAACCGGCGTAAATAGTAGTTCCTTGCTCCAGAGACGGAAACAGTTCTCCGATGAAGCTTTGTTGGCTGACATGAAGTTGTGAGTCATCTTAGTAATGACCCCCCAGGTTTGCGCCGGAGGAGGATAGACCTGCGCCTGCGACCATGCGATCGGCAGTATGTAGCCGTCCATCACCGCCGTCCGAGCCTTAATCGGGAGATATTGCGGCTGCCATAACGACATCTTCGCAACCATCTTCTGCAGCGCCTTATCCCATGTCGGCTGGCAGCTTCCGCTCGGCGTAATCCAAACCCCTAGGAGCCTTTCCGCTTCATCTTTCTCCGCCCAGCGAAAACCATCCGAGCGCCAAGACTTTTTCCCCAAGTTAGCCCCTAAGGGCATCACCACTGACTTGTCCACGTTCATCTCCAGGCCGGAAATATTCTTAAACTTCTCCAACTCCTCTTCCGCCCTGCCAATTTGTTGCTTCCCTTGCAGAAGGAGAGTTGTATCGTCAGCATAACCGACATA